ATAATAATAATAATAATAATAATAATAATAATAATAATAATAATAATAATGTGCGCCATTGCGTGCAGCCCGCTACAGTATGCTGCCTGTGATCAACATGTTGTTGGTGCAACTGCTACAGTATCTACAACGCCTTGAGAACTCGTCCGCCCTTGTGGTTGTGTGCGTCGGCTGAGCCTGTTTCACGCCCTTATTCAAACCGTTTTCGACAGTACAGCGTCCCCTGTGCAGTCACTGGGTATCGAAGGTTCGTTCTTAGAAGAAATCTTAGGAGCCAACTTGGTTAGCCCGATGGAATGTAATCTAGTAATCGGCATAACTTGCCCGTGCGCGGTTATCTTGACTGTGGTCAAGGAAATGCCACCAATCCAATTAGGACTCATTGATACCAATTATTTTCGGCGTTCTGGGAAAGTGCGGCGACAGAAGAAGTGTCTGTTTCTGTATCTCTGGGTATTCGAAATGGTTCTAGTGGAGTAATTAAAACGAGAGTTCCTATATCGAAGGTTCCATCACAACTGAGCCCTTACTTGTTGCACCATTTCTAGGCGGTTTCAACGCCACCTATCAACCCCCGTGACCGAATGTTTTCACCAGACCGATCGAATCTCAACTTGAACAAATGTCTTTGAGTAGCAAATGCTTTCAAAGTTTCGAATTGATGTTCCTGTTGGAGCAAATGTACTGGTTCGAGTCCCAAAGCCTCCCTGCCTGAGTTTCTCCCCTAAGTCGCCAACCTTATGAGATGTACAAAGCTTTTTCTCCTACCGAGATCTTGTCCACTGGATCTGCCGTTTCCTTGCACGTAAAGAAGTGAATAACCGGTCCATAAAGGTGTGGCTCCGTTCGGACATGTGGGAATCTGAAGGCAAAAACAGCCTTTCATGCGGGAAGAATGATTTTTCATGNGAGAAAATGATCGCTAAGCTACTTATGGTAATCATAATGTTAGGCCAGAAAAACAGAAGAATCATCTATGAAATGTCAGTTATCCACTGGGATACAAAGAGGTACTGAATGTAAAACGCGAACCTGTGTCGTTTGTGAATGCTTCGCAAAGGTGAAACCTCGAGAAGGTGCCCATGGGCCCGGTCCACCCGGCAGTCCCGGCGGACCCGGGAAACCTGGCTGACCAACACGTCCAGGGTTTCCAACGATTCCAGGGACTCCAGCTTCGCCTTTCGGGCCTGGAATACCCGGAAGTCCTGGCAACCCTGCCTCTCCTGGTGCTCCGGGATATCCAGCCTTTCCTGGAGGTCCCCGTTGTCCTGCAAAACACAGTAGCAGTTATTAGCTTTGTTATAGGCTATTATCTACATGCAGTCTTGCAAACAACATGAAGTACCGTTATCGCCTGGCAACCCAGGATATCCTTTTTCTCCTGGCCAGCCTGGTTCTCCAGGTGCTCCTGGTGGACTCGTCAGTCTGAGGCCCTCTGCTCCAGGTATCCCAGGAGGGCCTTCACGTCCAGGACGACCATCAATACCAGGAAGTCCCGGTAATCCATCCATTCCACGTTCTCCTTTGATACCAGGGATTCCAGGTAAACCTGGGAAGCCGTCATCGCCTTTTAGTCCCGGATATCCAGGTGCTCCTAAACGATTAAACACTCGACCCAATGCTTCAGCGCTTTCAATCATTCATGCATACTACCTGGTACTCCTCTTTCTCCTGGATAGCCTGGAGTCCCAGGATGTCCAGGTGCCCCAGGCAAGCCGTCATCACCGCAGTCGCCAGGTGCACCAGGTATGCCGTCGAGACCAGCCGTTCCCGGCAGTCCTGGTGCTCCATCATGTCCTGAAATTAATTCGTTCATGCTTAATTTGGAAGCAACACTCGATCGAGTTTACCTCGTTTGCCATCGATTCCGGGAAGACCCATTTCTCCTTTGACACCGGGTATTCCTGGTTCTCCACGAGGACCAGGAAGTCCAGGGATACCAGGGAATCCGTCACTTCCTCTTTCTCCAGGTAGCCCTGGAACACCAGGCAGGCCGTCTGGGCCTGGAAAACCGGGCTCTCCAGGTGCGCCTGGCAGTCCATAGCCGTCAACTCCAGGTGGTCCAGGATATCCCTCATCTCCGGGTGGTCCTCGCAAGCCAGGCATGCCATCTTTTCCTGGATATCCAGGTAGACCTGGTTCTCCGCGCTCGCCTTTAGGACCTGGTAGTCCATCGCGTCCAGGGAATCCGGTATCTCCTTCTGGGCCAGGTGCTCCAGGAATGCCCATGTCACCCTAAATCACTTCGCCTTAAACTTCTATTTTTGGTGCAGAAATCGGGAGGAGACTTACCGGTTGTCCTTTCTCGCCGGGCGGACCATCGTATCCCGGGAGTCCCGGTTCTCCTTGTTCTCCTTTCAGCCCAGGCACTCCCGGTACTCCGGGAAGTCCAGGTAAGCCACTTTCTCCGGGAAGACCAGGATAACCTTTTTCTCCTGGAGGTCCTGGAAAGCCCTGGAATGTATAGACTGATTATCGTAATGTCATGCTGAACACAAAAAAAAANAAAAAAAAATTTTACCGGGGGTCCAGGAGGACCAGGTGGCCCTGGGTATCCGTCGTCTCCACACTCGCCTTCCAAACCAGGTACTCCAGGAAGTCCATCCGGACCAGGGGCTCCGGGATATCCCGGCTCTCCGCGTTCACCTTTCACGCCAGGTATTCCGGTCAATCCAGGAAGACCAGGTGGTCCAGGTGGTCCATCCATTCCATCGAAACCTGGTTCTCCTTGCTCTCCTGGTAATCCTGGTAGGCCAGGGTAGCTGTCTCCAGGTTCACCCATTTCGCCCTTCAGGCCAGGTATTCCATCGGGGCCAGGAAGGCCAGGAGGTCCTATTGGTCCTGGATAGCCGACATCTCCTGGTAATCCTGGATGAGCGAGATATCCGGGCTCTCCTGGCATTCCTCGAGCGCCAGGCAGGCCTGCGTCACCCATTTCTCCTTTCAAACCGGGGAGCCCATCCAAACCTGGTCTTCCGGGGAAACCTAAAATACTGTTTATCTCAGTCATTAATTTTTTTATGAGACATAATCAGTGAAAGTATTCCACATACCATCTTCTCCAGGCATTCCGGGTGCTCCAGGAAGGCCGTCGAGTCCTCTATCTCCGTCTTCTCCGCATTCACCTTCTTCTCCTGGCAGACCGTTATCACCCGGCATTCCTTGTAATCCAGGAAATCCAATGAGTCCATCTTCTCCTGGTAGTCCATCAGGACCTCTAGGTCCTGGTGCTCCTGGGTATCCTGGCGGACCCATATCGCCAGGAATGCCTTTTCGTCCGGGTGCTCCTGGATAACCGGGGTTTCCTGGTTGNCCTTTGAGCCCGGGAATTCCAGGAAGCCCGGGTGGTCCTTGTGGACCTGGTCGTCCGCGTTTGCCGTCGAGTCCAGGTAATCCTTTCTCTCCTTTATAACCTGGTGGTCCTGGTGGTCCATCCAAGCCAGGTGCGCCAGGTTCACCTGGATAGCCAGGTGGTCCAGGTAGTCCTGGAAGTCCTTGTAACCCTGGCTGACCGGGTGGGCCCATATCACCTTGCTCTCCTTTGGGTCCTGGGAAGCCGGCCTGTCCTTGATAACCGTATCCTGGTTCTCCCTTTTGCCCTGCAAGCAGTTGATTTTGTTAATCTAAGGTGGTCACTGTTGTAGAACAGAAAAATTCATCCACCATAATGGCGTTACACCTCACCATCTAGTCCAGGAATGCCAGGGAGACCAGGAACACCAGGCTCACCGCATTCGCCTTCAAGGCCGTTCAAACCAGCATCTCCCTGTATTCCTCTCATTCCCGGCTCTCCTTGGAGGCCTGGGAAACCAGGCAATCCGTCTGCTCCTCGCTCTCCTGGGAGACCTGGATATCCTTGAGGACCTGGCTAAAAATCACAAGATCATAAAAGCGTTGTCGCGAGAAAACAAATTATGTGCTGCAACCAGTTGGCCACAAAAATGTCGAATTTGTTAACTCACCTGCCCGGGTAGGCCGGGTAAGCCATCGACTCCTCGCTCTCCGGGTAGCCCAGGTAAGCCGGGTTCACCATCCTTTCCTGGCAGTCCTTGATAAAACTCTTGAGGGGCCGCCGGACCAGGTGGTCCCATTGCGCCAGGGAGTCCAGGTAGACCAACTTCACCTGATTCACCTTTGGCCCCAGGGATGCCTGGCAGCCCAGGATAGCCTTCACCTGGAGGGCCTTGTGCGCCAGGAGCGCCCATCTGAATAAGTCGAGTTTCAAAATAAGTATTAATATTTTATAGAACTACTTGAGAAAGCCTAGAAATACCAATCCATCTCGTCCTCGTTTTCCATCGATACCTAGAAGACCTTTCTCACCGCGGTAACCTGGACTGCCATCCAATCCTGGCATTCCCGGCAGACCATCTAGACCGGGTTTACCTGGCCGTCCGGGCAGACCTGGAATAAAACAGATAGTTAGAGGACTAAGCTACACGCTGAAAAACTTCTCTCGCTCAGTTCCACCTTTCATACAAGACCTAACTACTGGGAGTGCTATTTACGTTGAAAACGTAGTGACAGTACGTACCACTTTGATCTCCACTGTAAACAGCATA